CCCCAGTTGAACTCGTACACCAGGGCTTGCCTTTGCACCACCTGCGTGCTGGTTGGGGGGAGAAAGGATTCAAGAGGGGGTAGGAGCAGCACGCCTTAGTGGAAAGCAACATCAGGAAAACTGAGGGGCCCCAGTTGAACTCGTACACCAGGGCTTGCCTTTGCACCACCTGCGTGCTGGTTGGGGGGAGAAAGGATTCAAGAGGGGGTAGGAGCAGCACGCCTTAGTGGAAAGCAACATCAGGAAAACTGAGGGGCCCCAGTTGAACTCGTACACCAGGGCTTGCCTTTGCACCACCTGCGTGCTGGTTGGGGGGAGAAAGGATTCAAGAGGGGGTAGGAGCAGCACGCCTTAGTGGAAAGCAACATCAGGAAAACTGAGGGGCCCCAGTTGAACTCGTACACCAGGGCTTGCCTTTGCACCACCTGCGTGCTGGTTGGGGGGAGAAAGGATTCAAGAGGGGGTAGGAGCAGCACGCCTTAGTGGAAAGCAACATCAGGAAAACTGAGGGGCCCCAGTTGAACTCGTACACCAGGGCTTGCCTTTGCACCACCTGCGTGCTGGTTGGGGGGAGAAAGGATTCAAGAGGGGGTAGGAGCAGCACGCCTTAGTGGAAAGCAACATCAGGAAAACTGAGGGGCCCCAGTTGAACTCGTACACCAGGGCTTGCCTTTGCACCACCTGCGTGCTGGTTGGGGGGAGAAAGGATTCAAGAGGGGGTAGGAGCAGCACGCCTTAGTGGAAAGCAACATCAGGAAAACTGAGGGGCCCCAGTTGAACTCGTACACCAGGGCTTGCCTTTGCACCACCTGCGTGCTGGTTGGGGGGAGAAAGGATTCAAGAGGGGGTAGGAGCAGCACGCCTTAGTGGAAAGCAACATCAGGAAAACTGAGGGGCCCCAGTTGAACTCGTACACCAGGGCTTGCCTTTGCACCACCTGCGTGCTGGTTGGGGGGAGAAAGGATTCAAGAGGGGGTAGGAGCAGCACGCCTTAGTGGAAAGCAACATCAGGAAAACTGAGGGGCCCCAGTTGAACTCGTACACCAGGGCTTGCCTTTGCACCACCTGCGTGCTGGTTGGGGGGAGAAAGGATTCAAGAGGGGGTAGGAGCAGCACGCCTTAGTGGAAAGCAACATCAGGAAAACTGAGGGGCCCCAGTTGAACTCGTACACCAGGGCTTGCCTTTGCACCACCTGCGTGCTGGTTGGGGGGAGAAAGGATTCAAGAGGGGGTAGGAGCAGCACGCCTTAGTGGAAAGCAACATCAGGAAAACTGAGGGGCCCCAGTTGAACTCGTACACCAGGGCTTGCCTTTGCACCACCTGCGTGCTGGTTGGGGGGAGAAAGGATTCAAGAGGGGGTAGGAGCAGCACGCCTTAGTGGAAAGCAACATCAGGAAAACTGAGGGGCCCCAGTTGAACTCGTACACCAGGGCTTGCCTTTGCACCACCTGCGTGCTGGTTGGGGGGAGAAAGGATTCAAGAGGGGGTAGGAGCAGCACGCCTTAGTGGAAAGCAACATCAGGAAAACTGAGGGGCCCCAGTTGAACTCGTACACCAGGGCTTGCCTTTGCACCACCTGCGTGCTGGTTGGGGGGAGAAAGGATTCAAGAGGGGGTAGGAGCAGCACGCCTTAGTGGAAAGCAACATCAGGAAAACTGAGGGGCCCCAGTTGAACTCGTACACCAGGGCTTGCCTTTGCACCACCTGCGTGCTGGTTGGGGGGAGAAAGGATTCAAGAGGGGGTAGGAGCAGCACGCCTTAGTGGAAAGCAACATCAGGAAAACTGAGGGGCCCCAGTTGAACTCGTACACCAGGGCTTGCCTTTGCACCACCTGCGTGCTGGTTGGGGGGAGAAAGGATTCAAGAGGGGGTAGGAGCAGCACGCCTTAGTGGAAAGCAACATCAGGAAAACTGAGGGGCCCCAGTTGAACTCGTACACCAGGGCTTGCCTTTGCACCACCTGCGTGCTGGTTGGGGGGAGAAAGGATTCAAGAGGGGGTAGGAGCAGCACGCCTTAGTGGAAAGCAACATCAGGAAAACTGAGGGGCCCCAGTTGAACTCGTACACCAGGGCTTGCCTTTGCACCACCTGCGTGCTGGTTGGGGGGAGAAAGGATTCAAGAGGGGGTAGGAGCAGCACGCCTTAGTGGAAAGCAACATCAGGAAAACTGAGGGGCCCCAGTTGAACTCGTACACCAGGGCTTGCCTTTGCACCACCTGCGTGCTGGTTGGGGGGAGAAAGGATTCAAGAGGGGGTAGGAGCAGCACGCCTTAGTGGAAAGCAACATCAGGAAAACTGAGGGGCCCCAGTTGAACTCGTACACCAGGGCTTGCCTTTGCACCACCTGCGTGCTGGTTGGGGGGAGAAAGGATTCAAGAGGGGGTAGGAGCAGCACGCCTTAGTGGAAAGCAACATCAGGAAAACTGAGGGGCCCCAGTTGAACTCGTACACCAGGGCTTGCCTTTGCACCACCTGCGTGCTGGTTGGGGGGAGAAAGGATTCAAGAGGGGGTAGGAGCAGCACGCCTTAGTGGAAAGCAACATCAGGAAAACTGAGGGGCCCCAGTTGAACTCGTACACCAGGGCTTGCCTTTGCACCACCTGCGTGCTGGTTGGGGGGAGAAAGGATTCAAGAGGGGGTAGGAGCAGCACGCCTTAGTGGAAAGCAACATCAGGAAAACTGAGGGGCCCCAGTTGAACTCGTACACCAGGGCTTGCCTTTGCACCACCTGCGTGCTGGTTGGGGGGAGAAAGGATTCAAGAGGGGGTAGGAGCAGCACGCCTTAGTGGAAAGCAACATCAGGAAAACTGAGGGGCCCCAGTTGAACTCGTACACCAGGGCTTGCCTCTGCACCACCTGCGTGCTGTTCAAAGAGGGGAGACCGCAAGAGGGGGCGTTGTGTGGGTTGTGTCGGGAGCAGCACGCTTTAGTAAAAAGCAGCATCAGGAACACCGAGGGGCCCCAGTTGAACTCGTACACCAGGGCTTGCCTTTGCACCACCTGCGTGCTGGTTGGGGGGAGAAAGGATTCAAGAGGGGGTAGGAGCAGCACGCCTTAGTGGAAAGCAACATCAGGAAAACTGAGGGGCCCCAGTTGAACTCGTACACCAGGGCTTGCCTTTGCACCACCTGCGTGCTGGTTGGGGGGAGAAAGGATTCAAGAGGGGGTAGGAGCAGCACGCCTTAGTGGAAAGCAACATCAGGAAAACTGAGGGGCCCCAGTTGAACTCGTACACCAGGGCTTGCCTTTGCACCACCTGCGTGCTGGTTGGGGGGAGAAAGGATTCAAGAGGGGGTAGGAGCAGCACGCCTTAGTGGAAAGCAACATCAGGAAAACTGAGGGGCCCCAGTTGAACTCGTACACCAGGGCTTGCCTCTGCACCACCTGCGTGCTGTTCAAAGAGGGGAGACCGCAAGAGGGGGCGTTGTGTGGGTTGTGTCGGGAGCAGCACGCTTTAGTAAAAAGCAGCATCAGGAACACCGAGGGGCCCCAGTTGAACTCGTCCACCAGCGCCTGCCTCTGCACCACCTGCGTGCTGTTTGTGTGGGCGGATGGAGGACAGGAATCAAGAAGAATGAGTTGAGGCTGCGGCAGTGGCATTAAGGGTGAACACCGATGGATACCGAGGGGTCCCGGTTGAACTCGTCCACCAGAGCCTGCCTCTGCACCACCTGCGTGCTGTTCAAAGGGGAAGGGGGGGAAGGCGGAGAGGGGGATGTTGGGACGTAGATGGATGGAAGAGGAGGGAGTGAAGGCATGGTAATGGCATGGAGTGGCAAACGCAGAGGGGCCCCGGTTGAACTCGTCTATCAGAGCCTGCCTCTGCACCACCTGCGCACTGGTTGGCGGGAGACAAGAGGGAGTAGAAACCGCATGCCGCAGTGGAAAGCAGCATGGAGTGGCAAACACCAGAGCCTCAGCACAGGGGGAGAGGGGGAGGAGGGGGAGAAGGACATAGCACAGATTTGAGCATTTTGTCCGCCCACATAATATTCTTTCCCATAAAATTAGTGGGGGGGTTGGGGATTTTGGTTGATGGGCTGGTTTTCAGGGGTCTATTTGGGTTGGGAGGGGTTGAGTTTTGGCGAAAATGACGTTCGGGCTGACCGAAAAAAAATTCCCCAAGTGTTCTGCGTTTTTCTGTGCGTTCAGCGTTTTGCGTTCAAACGCAGAACGTAACGCTTCAGATGCGTTTTTCTCCACTCAGCCTAGCACGTGCTGCGGAACGTCGTGAACAGCCGTCAAGAGCTAACCACCCCACCCCACCCCATCCCACCGCACTCATTCCTCCCACCTCTACACTCCCTTCTCAAGATTCACGACTCAACTGCCATCCCGCCTCAAGAAAGCCACCCCAGCACGTGGTGCAGAATGTCTAGCACAGCCGATGAGTCAACTCCACACTACACCACCCATGCTTCATGCACCAACCGATGAGGGTACACCACCCATGCTTCGTGCACCAACCGATGAGGGTACACCACCCATGCTTCGTGCACCAACCGATGAGGGTACACCACCCATGCTTCGTGCACCAACCGATGAGGGTACACCACCCATGCTTCGTGCACCAACCGATGAGGGTACACCACCCATGCTTCGTGCACCAACCGATGAGGGTACACCACCCATGCTTCGTGCACCAACCGATGAGGGTACACCACCCATGCTTCGTGCACCAACCGATGAGGGTACACCACCCATGCTTCGTGCACCAACCGATGAGGGTACACCACCCATGCTTCGTGCACCAACCGATGAGGGTACACCACCCATGCTTCGTGCACCAACCGATGAGGGTACACCACCCCTCCTTCCCTCACTCCCCCTCCTCACCTGCCATCCAGTCTCAGGAAGGTCAGTCCCAGCAGCCCCAGCACGTGCTGCAGGATGTCAAGCACAGCCGGCCATTGCCACTCTTGTGTGTCCATCCCTATACCCATCCAAGTCAAATGCCCTTCCCTTTTACTCTCCTCCTTCCCTCACTCCCCCTCCTCACCTGCCATCCAGTCTCAAAAAGGTCAGGCCCAGCAGCCCCAGCACGTGCTGCAGGATGTCAAGCACAGCCGTCCATTGGCTGAAGAGCAGCACTCGGTGGCCATCGGATTTAAGCTGCGGAAGAAGCGTTGCGAGGGCCTGTGAGGGGGGATGGGGCAGGAGATAAGGAAAGATAGCAGAGGAGAGTTGGATAAGGGGAAAGATGACACAAGATCAGAAGACCGGTCATTGGTTGAGGAGCAGCACTCGGTCGGTGCACCTGGCACTTGCAGGGGTGCCAAGTGCCAGGAGTGCAAGACACATTCACAGGGGACCCGGGAGAGTGAGTGAGAGTGCGTCCACGACGCTGCAGGGTGTTTTTGAGAATCTGGTCTCAAGAACACTCCACACCCCCACCAGCCCTCCAACAGGAAACCTCACCAACGGCTGCGAAGATCTGGTTCAGTTCTCCCACACCCCCAACAGCCCCCCCCTTGGCACCTGCAGGACTGGTCTCGTGGGAACTATTTTTGAGGCGCCTCAGAAATCGTCTCAAATTTTGAGGCGCCTCAAAAATCGTCCCAACTCATGCGGAAACCTCACCAACGGCTGGAAAGATCTGAATCAATTCCCCCACACCCCCAACAGCCCACCCCTTGACACTTGCAGGACTGGTCCCGCGGGAACTGGAAGAGTGAAAACGAGTCTGGAGAGACACCCATAGAAGAACCCTCACCAATCACCCCTTGCTCTCGCATCCAAGGTGACTTTTGAGTCGACTCAGAAGTCACCTGGAGATGGGAGGAGAGACACCCATAAAAAAAAACCTCACCAATCACCCCTTGCCCCTGCACCCCTCGCAGTTGCACCTGGCACCCCCAATATCAAACCCACGGCCATTGCACCATCAACCTCACCTGGCACTTGCAGGAGTGGAAGAACTGATCACGAGAAAGAATGAAGCGTGAGAGAGCGTCGCTGTGGGAGGCGCACAGCTGGTTGAGTGTGAAGTCGCTGTAGCCCCGCAGCTCCTCCTGCACGCCCCTCTCCCTCCCGTCCCTTACCAGTTACCCCCTGACACAGCACCCCCAGCAAACCCACCTGGCACTTGCAGGAGTGGAAGAACTGCTCTCGCGACAACAGGAAGTGTGAGAGCGCGTCGCTGTGAGCGGCGCACAGCTGGTTGAGTGTGAAGTCGCTGTAGCCCCGCAGCTCCTCCTGCACTCCTCCCTTCCACGCAACACGCCCCTTGCTTCGATTCCATCAATGCACCACCCATCCCCCCAGCCCAGCCCAGCCCACCTTCCCGCTTGTTCCCTGCCCTAGCACCCACACCAACCGCACCGCACCTGGCACTTGCCGGAGTGGAAGAATTGTTCCCGCGAGAGCAGGAAGCGGGAGAGTGCGTCACTGTGGGCGGCGCACAGCTGGTTGAGTGTGAAGTCGCTGTAGCCCCGCAGCTCCTCCTGCACTCAACAACCCGTGCTCCTGCAAGCCCCTTAGCTCCTCCTGCACGCAACAACCCCCTTGCTTCGATGCACCTCCCATCCCCCCCACCAAACAACCACCAACCGCACCTGGCACTTGCAGGAGTGAAAGAATTGTTCCCGGGAGAGCAGGTAGCGGGAGAGTGCGTCGCTGTGAGCCGCGCACAGCTGGTTGAGTGTGAAGTCGCTGTAGCCCCGCACCTCCTCCTGCACGCCCTTCTCCCGCTTGTTCCCTGCCCTAGCTACCCCCACCAAGGCTTACCTGGCACTTGCAGGAGTGAAAGAATTGTTCCCGTGAGAGCAGGAAGCGCGAGAGTGCGTCGCTGTGGGCGGTGCACAGCTGGTTGAGTGTGAAGTCGCTGTAGCCCCGCAGCTCCTCCTGCACGCGCTGCCGCGTGCACTCCCCCCCAAACACACCCCTCCCGTGCAGTACTCCTGCCATTTCTGTGACCGCTTCATCAGAGAAGAGTCGGCGCACGAGGAGAGGGTGGTTGGCTAGCTGTGGAAAGTGAAGAGAGACAGGGCACGGAATTGCAAGAAGAGAGAGGGAGAAATGGTGAGATGAGACACGCCAGACTCGTGAGTGTGAAGTCACTGTAGCCCCGCAGCTCCTCCTGCACGCGCTGCCGCGTGCACTCTCCCCCAAACACGCCCCTCCCGTGCAGCACCGTTGCCATGTCGTCCACTGCTGCGTCGGAGAAGAGGCGACGGACCAGGAGCGGGTGGTTGGCCAGCTGGCAGAGGGAGTGGGAGCGTGGAAGGGGAATAGGGGAAAAGGGACGAAGATATGAGAACGTGCTCCCCTCCCATGCTTGGGTGAATGAGGGAAGGGAAAGGAGGAAGGGGAGGGAAGAATGGGGAATAACGAGGCGCAACCGTCGAGCAACAAAAATTGGAATCACACCCAAAGGCAGCCGGCTTTGCATTGAATAGCACGCTCGCTAAACACACCCATTCCTCCACCACCCACCCACTCCACCAGCTGTACCTCCACCAGCTGTACCTTCCTCAGGTGGGTAAATATGCTCGCCAGCTGTCTCCTCGGCATCGCATCCACCGCCGCCGCCACAGCAGCCATGTCTTTCCCTCTCCCCTTCCCCCTCTCCCTCTACTTTCCCCAGTCCTACCTTCCTCAGGTGAGTGAAGATGCTCGCCAGCTGTCTCCTCGGCATCGAATCTACAGCTGCTGCCACAGCAGCCGTTCCCCCCTCCCCTTCCCCCTCCCCCTCTCTGTCTCCCCCTCCCGCTCTTGCCGCCACAGCCTTTCTGTATTGCTCCACAGCTTCATTGTACGCTGCTGCCTGCTCGCCCTCCATAGCCAGTAGCTCGACCTGCCAATAAGGGGGATAAAAACGAGGAGGAGAGGACACACAGCTTGTTACACCTCCACATAGCTTCATTGCATGCTGCTGCCTGCTCGCCCTCCATAGAGAGTAGCTCGACCTGCCAATAATGGGGATGGACACGGGGAGGAAAAATACATGCTATGTTCCACCTCCACACGGCTTCACCGTATGCTGCAGCAAGAGGGGGGCAACTTCGGAGGTGCCTCTTAAGTCTTTCGAGACGACGCAAGAGGGGGACAAGTACGAATTAACAAATCAAATTCACAGTATTATCCACAAGGCTACGTCTAGCGTATTATCCACACCCATCCACGCCCATCCACACCCCTCCCGCTCTCACCTTCTGCACTTTCGCCACCAGCTGTTTCATCACATCAGCCTTGACTCTCTGCAACACAAACGGGCCCAGGATGGCCTTCATGCGCCCTATCAGCCCCTCGTCTGCTGGCCCTCCTTCCATGTCTCGTCTGCCCCCTTTCGCCCACCCCTCCTCCCCCTCTCACCTTCTGCACTTTAGCCACCAGCTGTTTCATCACATCCACTTTCACTCTCCTTAGAACAAACGGCCCAGGATTGCCTTCATGCGCCCTCTATCAGCCCCTCGTCTGCTGGTGCATACCCATGCATACCCATGCATACCCATGCATGCCCATGCATGCCCATGCATACCCATGCATACCCATGCATACCCATGCATACCCATGCATGCCCATGCATGCCCATGCATACCCATGCATGCCCATGCATACCCATGCATGCCCATGCATGCCCATGCATGCCCATGCATGCCCATGCATACCCATGCATGCCCATGCATACCCATGCATGCCCATGCATACCCATGCATGCCCATGCATACCCATGCATGCCCATGCATACCCATGCATGCCCATGCATGCCCATGCATACCCATGCATACCCATGCATACCCATGCATACCCATGTATGCCCATGCATACCCATGCATACCCATGTATGCCCATGCATACCCATGCATACATCAGAATGACTCGCCGCAGCACAAACGGTCCCAGGATGGCCTTCATGCGCCCTATCAGCCCCTCGTCCGCTGCCCCCCCCCCCCCCCCCCCCCCTCCTCATCTTGTCTGGCCCCCACCCCATCCCCCACCCCTCTCGCTCTCACCTTCTGAACCTTCGCCACCAGCTGTTTCATCACGTCAGCCTTGACTCTCCTCAGAACAAACGGCCCCAGAATGGCCTTCATGCGCCCTATCAATCAGCCCCTCGTCTGCTGGCCCCCTTGCCCAACCACCCACAGATTTTTACATGCCTACACCCATCCGCACCGCTCTCGCCCTTACCTTCTGAACCTTCGCCACCAGCTGTTTCATAACGTCAGCCTTGACTCTCCTTAGCACAAACGGCCCCAGAATAGCCTTCATGCGCCCTATCAATCAGCCCCTCGTCTGCTGGCCCTCCTTCCATGTCTCGTCTGCCCCCTTTCACCCAACCCCACCTCTCACTCTCACCTTCTGCACTTTCGCCACCAGCTGTTTCATAACATCTGCTTTCACCCGCCGCAGCACAAACGGCCCCAGGATGGCCTTCATGCGCCCTATCAGGCCCTCGTCTGCTGGCCCCCCTCCCCCTCCTCCCCCCTTCTGGGACGGCTGGTCCCTCTTGCCCAGATACTCTGCAATGTCGCACTGGTGGGCGTTGAATATGGCGGGCATGAGGAACTCTAGCAGCGACCAGAGCTCCTGGAGAGGGAGAGGAAAAAGGAGGAGAGGAGAGAGGGAGCAAGGAGCGTGAGATGAGAAGAAGAAACCGCCTCCAGCCACCCAAGTCCCGCTTGCCCAGGTATTCTGAGATGTCGCACTGGTGTGTGTTGAATATGGTTGGCATGAGGAACTCGAGCAGCGACCAGAGCTCCTCGAGTAGAGAGGGCAAGAGGGAAGAGTGGAAGAGGGGAAGAAACGAGCAAGAAATGAGGGGGAAAAAGCACCTCCATTCATCCATCCACCAACATCCTCTCCACATATACGACGGCTGGTCCCGCTTTCCCAGGTATTCTGAGATGTCGCACTGGTGTGTGTTGAATATGGCGGGCATGAGGAATTCGAGTAGCGACCAGAGCTCTTGGCAGGGTTGAGGGAAAGGGCATGGCAGCAAGAAGTGACGAAGAAGTGGGGAAAAACTAACCATCTTTATCACACCCTCCCCCTCCCCCCTTCTGAGACGGCTGGTCCCTCTTGCCCAGGTATTCTGAGATGTCGCACTGGTGGGCGTAGAATATGGCTGGCATCAGGAACTCGAGAAGTGACCAAAGCTCCTGGGAGGATTAAGGGGAAGGGCAGGGCAGCAAAAAGTGAGCAAGAAGTGCGCCTAGAGCGGGGAAAAACTAACCATCATCACACCTTCCTCCCCCTCCCCCCTTCTGGGACGGCTGCTCCCTCTTGCCCAGGTATTCTGAGATGTCGCACTGGTGGGCGTTGAATATGGCTGGCATGAGGAACTCCAGCAGCGACCAGAGGTCCTGGGAAGAAAGAAGAGATGGAGGGAGGAGAGGAGAGAGGGAGCAAGGAACATGAGATGAGAGGAAGAACCCGCCTGCAGCCAGCCACCCAAATCCCGCTTGCCCAGATACTTTGCAGTGTCGCACCGGTGGGCGGTGAATATGGGTGACATGAGGAACTCATACCAGTGCGACCAGCGCTCCTGGGAAGGGAGAGGGGAAAGAGAGGGAACCAGGAAAATGAGATGAGAAGAACCTGTTGAAATGACAAAATGAAACCTCCATCCACCCAGGTCAATGCTGCCCGGATGCTCTGCATTGTCACACCGGTGGGCGGTGAGTTGAATATGGCTGACATGAGGAACTCATACCAGCGCGACCAGTGCTGCTGGGAAGGGAAGGAAGAGGGGAGAATTGAAAGGAGGGAAAGAGGGAATGAGGGAGCGAGACCCACAGCACACCGCTCACTGCTACTCTACTCTCCTCACCCACCTCAAGGTTGTTTCGCAAGGGCGTTCCAGTCAGCATGAGCCAACAATCTGCGGCATGAGCCAGCTGCTGCAGCTTCATCGCAAGCTGCTCCTGTCCTTCAACAGCGGGGCCTTGCCCATGCATCAGACATTTGAGTGGACTCCAAAGCACGGCATGCACGACTACTCACCTGCAAGTCATTCTGCAGCGGAGTCCCCGTGAGCATAAGTCGGTAATCCGCTGCCTGTGCCAGCTGTCGCAGCTTCATGGCCCGCTGGCTGCTCCTGTCCTTGAGCAGGTGAGCCTCGTCCATCCATCCGTCAGCACACCCTTGAGTGCTGCTCTGCTGACTCATTGGCATGGCATATCATTCGCTCACCTGCAAATCGTTTTGAAGAGGAGTCCCTGTGAGCATGAGTCTATAATCCGCGGCCTGTGCCAGCTGTCTCAGCTTCATGGCCCGCTGGCTGCTCCTGTCCTTGAGCAGGTGAGCCTCGTCCATCAGAACACACGAGAATCGGAACCTGCGCAGAAACTTCCGGTCGTCCCTCTGGGCGGAACTGTCCCTCTCAAACAGCGAGTAGCACGTCAGCAACACATCGAAACCCAGCTTCCTCTTCCTCCTCCTCCTCCTCCTCCTCCCCCTCCCCCTCCCCTCCACCTCCCTCTCCCCCTCCTTCTGCCTTCCTCCGCCTCTCCCGCCGCCGCTCCTTCTTGCCCTTTTTGCCCTTCTTCCCCTTCCCCCCGTGGAGCTCTCGCAACTCCCCCCGCTGCCCCCCGTGGTACAGCACCACGCGCAGCTGCGGGCACCAGCGCTGCAGCTCGCGCTGCCAGTTGTCAAGGAGGGAGGCGGGGGCCACAACGAGGTGGGGCCCCGGATTGTTGTCGAAGTGAGCGAGCAGCCCCAGCAGCACCACCGCCTGGAGGTTGGGGGGGGGGGAGGGGGGTGGAGGGGGGGGCAGCGGGGATTGAAGGTAAAATGAGGCACCAGAGCTGCAGCTCGCGCTGCCAGTTGTCCAGGAGGGAGGCTGGAGCTACAACCAAGTGCGGTCCTGGGTTGTTATCTAGGTGAGCCAGCAGCCCCAGCAGCACCACCGCCTGGGGGAACGGCGGAGCAGGGTTAGGGGGGATGGGGAGAATGGGAAGTGGGGACGAGGAGTCAGACGGGTGCAGGTGTTTGAGGTGCATTCCTCAGCTCCACGCTGCCCCCCATGGTACAGCACCACGCGCAGGTGCGGGCACCAGAGCTGCAGCTCGCGCTGCCAGTTGTCCAGGAGGGAGGTGGGGGCTACAACCAAGTGAGGACCAGGGTTGTTGTCCAGGTGAGCCAGCAGCCCCAGCAGCACCACCGCCTGGGGAAGGAGCAGCAGAAGGGGGAGTTTGGGACTAGAAGTTAGGGTTCTCATGGGATACATATGTCTGAGTTCACCCCTCTCTGCCCTTCATGGTACAGCACCACACGCAGGTGCGGGCACCAACGCTGCAGCTCGCGCTGCCAGTTGCCGGGGAAGGAGGCAGGAGCTAACATATGGGAAAAGGGAGGAGAACGTTGGGACACCAACATTTGGAACGAGCTTATTAAAAAGGAAGTTGCACGCAAATTCGGTCAACTGATAAAAACAAAATGAAGATACTCTATGTCTAACGTGACTGATTTTGAAGTTGAAGAGCTATGGGACTCTGTGGGGTTTTTGCTGGGATATGCACAGCACAGCTCTACTTGATGAGTTTGGTGCGATGTTCAACAAGTACAAAGGCAGAGGTTTCTAAAAACCGCAACAAGCTGGATATGTCGCGGCTTCCAAAAACCTTTGCCTTTGATACTTGTTGAACACCGCATTATAATCATTAAGTGAAACAATGCTGTGAATATCTAGCAGCAACTCCATACAGTCCCACAACGAGACATACTCATAAGGCTTTGGTCAAAGTTTACCTGCACAATATTGCCAAGACCGAATCTGTCAGCAGATAAAGCTACTCAAAATACTGATGTTAAAGCTGAAGTATACATTTGTCATCCAGGGTTTGGGTTTAGTGAGTCGCCTCACAGTCTTACGGGCAAAGTTTCAAATTTCAAAAGAATTTGAACCCCTTCTGTAAAATGTATACGAAAGCTTTAAGCCCAGAGATTGGACACGTTGGCTCCAAATAAGACAAACGTTCAAAGTTCGGGGTTCGAGGTTTAAGTTTTAGGCTTAATGTTTTAAGACTACTGTTTACCTGCACTGTCTTGCCGAGGCCCATTTCGTCCGCAAGAATTGCTGCAAACAATCAACACGAAACAAGACCCAGCGTCATTGAAATTAGGGTTGAATTCATCATTATTACACAGATTGAACACAAACCAGGAAACAGAGTCATTTAAGTTAGAGTTCAAGTTCATTATTGCACACCCACCCGTGGACGAACACAAAACAGGACACTGCGCTAATAGAGTCAGATCTTGATTTCACAACTGCTCTCCACAATATCAGAAAACAATATCTAAGATAGACATTCCTTACCACACAACGTCGAAAACCACTCACTTACCTCCCCCAACCTTCTGTCGGTACAGAAGCAGCAGGAAGTTCACTCCCACCAGCTGGTACCCCTTCAGCTGCACACTCTCCCCACACGCCGCCGACACATCATCCTGCGAGATCAACCTCGCAGCCGACTCATCCGTCTCTGCATACCCGCCCTCCAGCCCTCCCTCCCTCTTCTCCCCTCTTTCCCCCATCTCCCCCTTCTGCCCCTGCCTTCGCCCAGCAGAAGCAAGAATTTTCTGCTTCAGTGCTGCAGCAATCTGCTCGCACTTCCTCAGAGCCTCCAGCACAGGGTCGCTCTCCTGCTCCGCCTTCTCTCTGTACTCCCTCCCCCCTTCCCCTCCCTCCTCCTCTTCCTCATCCTCATTAGTCCTCCTCATCCTCCTCTGCTTCCTCCTCCTCCTCCCATTCCTCCAATGACCTCCTCCCTCTCACTGCCGCTCTGCCTGCTGCACGCGCACTCCTCCTCGTTACCACCACCTCCTCCTCTTCCCCCTCTCCTCCTCCCCCTACTCTGCCTCCTCCACCATCACCACCCTCCCCGCCATCTCCCCACTCCTCCTCCCCCTCCCACTCTTCACTCTGCGCATACCTTGCGGGCCTTCTCGCCCGCTCTGATCGCCTCACCCACTCTCCCTGCTTCTGCCTCCCTTTCGATTTCCTCCTTCCCCTACCCCGAAACACTTCATCATCCTCATCCTCTTCCTCTTCCAACTCTAACCCCTCTAGCTCCTCAATCTCCTCCTCTATCTCCTCTTCTATATCATCCTCCACTATCCAATCATCCTCCTCCTCCTCCTCCTCCTCCTCCTCATCCTCCCACCGATCCTTCCCAGATTTCTTCCCCCCCTTCTTCCCCTTCCCCTTTCCCTTCTCCTTCTCCTTCCCCTTCCCCACCCCCTTCCCCTTCCCCTTCCCCGTCCCCATCCCCTTCCCCTGCGCCACAACCGCCCCAGGAGCATCTCTAGCGGAGCGCCAGCCCTTGCTGGGGGCGTGCAGCGCCAGCAGGCGCGCGCGCAGCTCCTCTCTCTCCGCCCTCTGCACTGCCGCGCTGTTGCCAGGAGCCATTTGCGGACCCCCCTGGGTGGAGCCCTCCTGGGGCTGCCTCACTCCAAAGAACCTCCTCGCGTTGAAAGTCGCTGCAGAAGCAGTATTGCCAGTGGTGTCAGCATTATAACCAGCGGTGGCAGCACCGCCCCTTCCTGCATCAGCATCCCCTCGTTTGAACGGTGAAACCCGTTTCTCCTCCCCCCACTCCTCCTCCTCATCCACCTCCTCCTCCTCTTCATAATCCCCATCACTGCCATCACTACCCGCCAGAACGATCTTCCGCCTCTTCCTCTTCCCCTGCATCCCCCCATCACCCTCTCTTCCTCCCACCCCAGGTGACGAATCTGCCAATAACCCTTCACGCCCAAAACCCTCTCCCTCTCTTTCCACAACCCTAAACCCTTCAATCTCATCCTCCATTTGATCTCTCCCTGTGTTTTCCGCACTAGGGGTGGCAGCGGTCGCACTACCGGCCAAAACTCCCCGCCCACCTCGCTGCAGCCTGCGAAACCCGTCTCTAGCAACACCTTCCCCTTCCCCTGCTACCCTGCCGCCCAGGGGCCCTGTCCGCGTCTGCGACTGCCGCCTAAGCAGCCGAGACCGCGGCTTGAAGTTTGACAAGCTCTGCAGGCGGCGAGTGTGCGCAAACGAGTCAATGGACGGAAGCGGAGGCGACAATAACGCGGATGAAACTCCAGGACCCTTTTTCTTCTCTTCGCCTTCATTCCCCTCCTCACCACCAGCAGCACCAGCAGCACCAGCACCACCAGCAGCACGATCGGGCTGCTGGACCGGTTTCGTCAGCTGCTGAAGCGGCTTGATCTTGATGGTGCGTCTAGGAATAGCCACAGGCTCTGTGTTGTTATTGCGTATGCCGTTGCCTGCTTTCCCGTTACAAGCACTCCCGCTGGTAAGCATCCCATTTACTGATCGCACACGATGGGAGGAATTTTGAGTTAAAGATCCTCCTTTTCCCACTGGACTACTGTCAGCCACCGATATTTTCTGTTGCCCGAAAAAACGGCTGCCAACAACACCCGTACGCGCCTGCTGACGTGGCAGTTCTTCCTGCGGCAGCTGCTGTGGTTCGTGGCCATCCCGGGGTTCCAGCCCCGCAAGCTCGTTATTGTCAGGTTCGATATAGTCGTCCAATGGACCCAGAATCCTGGCTCCTTCGATTCGCACGGGACCACCGTCTGTGTCCAGATCCGGTGAATCTGACGCGCATTGGAACGCGGCGGAAAACGACTCCGCGACGGCCGCCGTTGATGGCGCGAACCCGCCGACACCTCGATACATATAAAGCCCGATTTATCAAGGGAAAAAAAATTTCAATATGTAACGAGATCGCTTTCGAGGGATTTGAATCAAGGATAACCTAAAAACGGGACTACTGCAACGGATAATATGAAGGCTATGGGTAGGGTCTCAGGCGAAAAAAACTGTCTGAAGCTTCGGGTGAGGAATCAGGATAAGGCTCACGTTTCCTCATAAAAACGAGGACAGTGATCTTGCGGTTCGGCACATGTAAGTGGCTCAAAGGCCTCGAAGGATGAAGCGATTTGGAGAATACTTACTGAGAAACGATACACGAGAATCTAGCAGTAACTGGCAACAGTATACACATGCTACGACACGCTCGCTCGCACCTAAACCGGCGGATCGAATCACTCGAATTCACACCATCGTGTTCGAAATCGCTACCAGTGCACTCTTTTGTATCTCGTTGCCTCGTCAAATTTCAACCACAGAGGACCCGTTTCACTTTCTATACACTATGCCTGGATTGGATCCAAAGCGAATGCGGCTCCGGCTAGAAGAAGCTGATGCGGGAAATTCATTTTTTCACTATAGGTAAGGGCATGACGGCGATAAGGAGGTGTCGTTGCTTCGCACTAAGCGAGTCCTGCTTCGCCTGTGGCAAATTGAAGAGAGAATGACTCCAGTGGCCAATAAGGTGATTCACCATCCCTCGCGTGGCCACGAATGACTCGAGTGGCCACCAAATTTGGTGATAATGACTCGAGTGGCCACGCCAGGGGATTCTTGCTGGCTTTTTTTTCACGGCGCATTACCCTAAGGTGATAAAAAAAATAAAGGGAAAATATGCCACAAGTAACACACAGTGGCATAGAAAATTTGTTTGGTAAAAAAAAGCAGTGTACGGTCACTGAAAAGGGTGTTTTCACGGGAGTGATAATAGGGTTCACGTAATCAGTCACTATTTGCTGGCGGAATCAATCACCTTAGGGTAATGCGCCGTGAAAAAAAAGCCAGCAAGAATCCCCTGGCGTGGCCACTCGAGTCATTATCACCAAATTTGGTGGCCACTCGAGTCATTCGTGGCCACGCGAGGGATGGTGAATCGTCTTATTGGCCACTGGAGTCATTCTCTCCAAATTGAAGGATTGACTGAAAGCCCTGCCTGAAGCATTGACCGCCTTGCCAGCGCCAACCCTCCATGGCCAAGCAAAAAGCTCAGTAAGCCTGACCCAACCTTTTTATATCCAAAGCAACCGCTCGGTACCGTATAAATATACACTGGCCTGATAAGTTCTCACAGCCACACAACAACGCCTTGCTGCTGGGCGAAAAAGCTCGACGGGAATTTACACCTTTGAACGATTAGTTGGAAACGGACGGCTAAGATGGAGCCCTTGAAATTGGTGCATTCCCGCCGAAACTTGTATCCTTCAAAGGGACGTCGTTCGCTAACAGTCGAGATCATGCATGCAGCTCTCGTTCTATGGGGTTACTGTAAAACTGCCTTTAGTTATGTAAGACACCATACGTGCTCCACCAAGCAAGATAAACGTCAGGCAGACTTAATTCCAATAATAAAATAACATCTCAGTGTATGCACGGAACAAATCAGGGATGAATCACACCATCAGTGCAACCATTTGTTGCACTTCAGGCCATACTTTCCCAATAGAAACACCATCAACAGATACACGAATCCCGTCCTACAAATCCCACCACACGAACCTCACACAATCTCTTCTTCCCATATCCTAATCACCATTCTAGTCCAAAACCTGCATAGCTGCTCCCCAACGTAACCCCAAACCAAACCATCTCACCGCACCTCTTCCCCTGCCCCGTCCTCCTGTGCCTTGCGAGCTCGCTCCAGCAGAATTTTCGCAATTCTCTGCCGCTTCTCCTCATCAGCAGTCGGCTCCACCACTCGGCTTAGCCCTCTCGGCTCTCCCCTGCTGCCACCCCCCATGCTACTCCACCAGCTCCAACTGCTTCTCCTCCCACCACTTTCACCATTGCCATTGCCACCATCACTACCACTATGTCTTTGGCTTCCCTCCTCCTCACCCTCACCTGTTCTGCTACTGCTGCTTGTTAGAGCGTGGCTGATCGCTGCTCCGATTGGTCCCCTGCCAAATCCAAGACCATCTAGGGAAGGCACTCCTCTTCCACTTCCACTCCCACTCCCACCACCAACACTGCTGCTGGTACCGCTGCTGGTTCCTCTAGTCGTACTACTCTGTGCATGATTTGACAGAGAGCCACTGCTTCTTTCCTCTCCATCCTGTTCTCTATCCTCCTTTCTGCTTTTCTCTTCCTCCTCCCGTCTAGGATAGTGATAGAAACGGTTGAAGTTATCCATTTTACTCATTATAAGCACAGCTGGAAACAGGAGGCAGCCCAGGGCCAGCCCAATGCCGCATATGAGCGCAGGCAATCGCCTGCTGCCAGGTGTCATGACCGGATTCGACGAGGTGAAGGAGGAGAAAGGCCCGTGGCGGAAGTTGCGGTGGGAGCGTGCGTGAGGGTGGTGGGAGTGAGTGTGGTGGTGTGAGGGAGTGTGGAGGAGGTAGTTGTAGGCTTCTGTGATTCGCCGAAAGGCGTCTGCATCACCCGTAGTGTTCACATCTGGGTGGCTGAGGTGGTGGAAGGATTTCAGGAGGAAAGACACGGGTTTTATATTAAAGGCTTACAGAGATTACAACAAACATAGAGTAAGAGTGTTCACATCTGGGTGGCTGAGGTTGTGGAAGGGATTTCAGGGGAAAACGAAGGAATTGTTATTATAGGCTTGTAGCGAGCACAGCAACCAAGCAGCGTCCATTCGAATCGTTCGCATGCATAAGGAGGGGAACATGTAAACGCCATGGATGTCTCATACAAAAGCCATGTTGTGTGCCAGATAAATGCATGGTTTTCACCCCTCCTCGCTCTCCCCTCCCTCCCCCTCCTCTCCCTCTCCCTCCCCTACCTCTCTGAAACCCAGTTTCCGAGGTTGTGTGATGTGCTGATCCATGTTTCTGCTGTTACTCGACTCACCCAACCTTCCTGGTTTCCAGTTCCCCAGAGCTTCTATCGCAACTTCTCTCGCAGCTCAAGTGGCGTCGTCTTACAGTTTGAGCGCGAGTCGTCGGTAAGCGGCCTTCACTTGCGCCAGCGACGCGTCGTGCGGCACTCCCAGCAGCGCGTACGCGTCGCCGTGCGACCGTCGCACCATGCTGGTCCGATCGCCTGCGACGTTGAGAGTGTCGCTTGCGACGCTGGAGGGCTGGCTGCTACGTCGTCAAGTGCTTTGCGGAAGTGCAATAGGAGTTCTGACCCCCGTGCCTACTATTGAGGCGCCTCAGAAGTAGAATCAGGACTTTGAGAGCAGTTGAGAGGGAGTACTATCCAAGACCGTGCAAGTTTAGCGAGAATCGCGGCGGGCTCGGCGCGCTGAATTATGGGAGCTACTGACGATGACGTGGAAACGAAATCGAGGAGCGGGCAAGGGTGGTTACTGGAGTAAACGGAATCTGACACTATGGTTAAGCAAGATCGCGTCTTTGCGTTGTGTGACCATCGTGTGCAACCACGGCGGACAAATACCGCAATAGCAAGGGGAGAGCAGATGTAGCCCGTAGGGAACAAATCCGCATGGGAGCTGGAAAGCTTCTGGCATCAGGAACAAATCTCCCCATGCGATGAATGCTTCCCCTGCGATTGCCGCGTCTGCGACTGACTACGATGCGGCCTACTAAATTCGCGCACATGGCGCCCGACACGTCACCACAGACTTATGACGGAAGCTTCTTGCGATGCTTTGGGGGGGTTAGTGGTTGTGGCGAATCGACGGGTGGTGGCTTGCGAGAGTTACCACCGAATTCAAGTCTATCGCTAGCAGATGTACACTCTGATGTCCTATACAATGGAAACCAATCTATAGCATAATAAAACAGACGATATCAAGATTGGACCTTTAGTGCAGTTCTTGCTTTGTTCATGTTCGTATGTGTATTACGAGCTTCCTAGTACGATGGATGTGTCTAGAGCTCGTTACAAAAACGAGGACTTCGCCACGCCTATCTTAGTGATGTCAACAGTGAGATCTGGATGTGGACTCTTTTTGACCTACAGCGACTCCCGCTTCGGGATTTGAACATTTTGCTTGCGGGTCGCGCTAATGGCACCCGCTCTTTATAGTAACTCTAACGAGCCGCGCATTTCCCGCCAAAGATCTCCCCACGTAAAGCGTTCCTCAATAGCCTCAATCTGTGTGTGTGTGGAACGCGGGCATTTGGTGCTGCTGCTGCTTGTCCAAATCATTGGACCTTTGTCCCCCATCACTCGAGGTTTTTGCTGATTTGTCTTGTATTTTCACAACAAGCGCTCCGGTGGAGCCATATCTACTCTTCGATTGATCAAAGCGCCCATCGTAGTGTGCATCTCAGCCATCCGTGGCGCTGACGATGATGATCCCGCACCGCGCTTTGCTCTGATTCGCTCGCATTGCAGAATCCAGCGCCATTCAGAAGCTTTTGATTGGACGGCACCTGTTTTGCTGCGTTTCACAATTGTTCTGATCTGCTCTGCAACAATCTGGACAACCACAAGGAATAGTCTTAGAAGCCATAATCCAGAGAACTCTCCAATAGAGATTTTTCGAAGGCTTTTAGCACGTTAGAAGATACGCTAGTCTCATCTCTCCTTTCAACCTCATCTTAGCCCTGCCTGTTGACGCTATCACTTGCACCCCTAGCCTGTTGAAATTACTAGAACATTTCCTATCAATCGCAGTACCCAGCGCACCAATACATAGGCCAGATCAGCCCAGTACAGCACGCAAGCCATGGTCCGATCAGGGTCGCTTTTGCTTCCCGTCGGGATCGCGCTTGTCCTTCTCGCAGCACTCCCGTCATCCACGTGCGCGCGATCCGAGGCTAGCTTCAACCCTAACACAGGCGTAGCTTCCAAAGCTGGCATTACCGTCCCCAGCTTTAAATTCAATTTCAAGTTCGACTTCCATAGGGTGTCGAACCCGCTCGTGTTCTTCGCGAAATGCGACAAGTCTTCGCTGGCGGGTTTCTCCTCATCGAAACAGCTCACTAACGGGTACGAAACAACACTTGCCGAAAATGCCACCCTTTCACCTCATACACCCTTTTCCGCTCCCTGCACGCACCCCCACTCCCAGCTTCCAGTCCCCCCTTGTTTCAAGCTTGCTTCCACATTTTCCCCGATCCTCTTCCCGTTCAACCTTTGAGGCGCCTTAAAAGTCAACTCACCACCTCTCACCGCTTTCAGTTCTCCCTTGTTTCGAGCTTGTTTCCCCCTTCTCCCCGATCCCCCTTCCCTTTCGTCTCCCCTCCTCGCCCCCATTTTCCCCTTAACCGTCGCCCCCGCAGCTCTCTCTGCACTGGCAGGCAGTCACTTCGTCCATCGACCAGCACTTGATATTATTTCTCTTTCCACTTTCGTCTCACCTCCCATTCTCTCCCCCATCTTCTTTCCCTTCCCGCAGGCTCTCTCTGCACTGGCAGGCAGTCAATTCGTCCATCGACCAGCCTTTGATATTATTTTTCTTTCCACTTTCGTCTCACCTCTAATCATCTCCCCCATCTTTTCCCTACCTCCCCGCAGGCTCACCCTGCACTGGCAGGCAGTGTCCAAGTCGAGCGAGCAGCTTCAACTGGCGCTCGAGGCGAAAAAAGGCACTCCAGCTGCTGCGAGCTGGTTCGCCGTCGGTTGGTCGCAGAGCGGCAAGATGGGCGGCAGCAATGTGATTGTAATGGAGGATGTCGGCTCGGCGCCGGGCCAATACGATCTCGAGAGCGATCCGCTGTACACCGCGAAGGCTGTCGCTGCTTCGTGGTCCGCGAGCTCGTACAGTATTACAGAAGATGACAAGTCTGTCGTTATGCAGTAAGTCGGCATGTTTATCGAGGTTCCTGTATCGAGTATAGCGATAGTGACCCCTTGTTCACGGCGAAAGCCATCGCTGCTTCGTGATCGGCGAGCTCGTCGCGTATTACGGAAGTTGAAATATCTGTTTTGATGCAGTAAGTTCTGTTGGAGGTACAGGTGCTGCGTGTCTATCAAGGTCCTTTGTCGCGTATGGTGAGTGGTCTCATGAGCGACCCCTTGTAGACGGCGAAGGCCGTCGCTGCTTCTTGGTCCGCGAGCTCGTCGAGTGGTTCCAGATGATGATAAGTTTGGAATGCAGGCATTTTTTATGGGAAAATTGCCTTTGCTATCACCAACCAAAACGGAAAATACAACGGTCTTAGCTTGCCCTTTGTAAATTACCCACTGGAATGACAGCTCCACGGATTCTTTTCTCGAGGCAACTCAATTTTCTATCTGAACCCCCCGTTCCGTTCCCTGCATGTAATTTCGCATGTCAGATTCTCCCGTGGAATAGGCGATCCCGGCAGCGTTCCTTTGAAGCGTTCGGGCTACAGTAACATGATTTGGGCGTATGGTGCGGGGATTTGGGAGTCGGATGGAGGTCACGATGCCAAGTGAGTGTTAGTGGGGGTTGCTTGTTCGCCTGAAGGTGGGATAAGTAGCTCGTTTCTTTCTTGGATGTAAGAATGTAAGAATGAAGCACGCGGGCTACAGTAACATGATTTGGGCGTATGGCGCGGGGATTTGGAAAAAATAAGTACCTCGGGTCTTTCTGGAAAATAAAACAGCTGTGTAACAATGAATCATGAAACTCGCGGGTTACAGCAACATGATTTGGGCGTATGGCGTGGGAAAGTGGGAGGCTGGTGGAGGTCACGATGCTAAGTAACAGCGGAGTTGGTTTAGCTTGTTGGCATGAAGGAGAATCCTAGGAATTTGGCCAAAGGTTGGTCGCAATAGCTGCAATAGAAGTTCGCCTAGGGATGGAAGCTTTATGTCCATGAGTCCATGCTGTCCATGTTTTTCTCTCTTTATCCTGGCCCATTACTCCCCCCCTCCCCTTCCTCTCCTTCCCCCCCCACCCCTCCCCAATAACAGGAGTATTGTGTGATTGATAGTGACTTTTTAGTTGACTCAAACACTCCCCCCACCCCCAGGTAACTTGCGAGTCGACTCAAAACACCCCCACCTCCTCCCCCCCCCTTTCTCATGCTGAGGATGCAAGCTAATGATCCATCCTATATGGAAACTGACATAAGCAAAGGTGCCAGTTGTGGAGTCCCAATTAGCAGGTTCATTCCTCTACCGAATCATCCTCTCTTCCTTTGTGTTTCCCCCCTTGTCCTAGTTGCAGTGGTGCAGCCGCTGTTCACCTGTGCAGCGGCTCCTAGTCAAACTCTTGAATCATCCTCTCTTCCTTTGTGTTTCCCCCCTTGTCCTAGTTGCAGTGGTGCAGCCGCTGTTCACCTGTGCAGCGGCTCCTAGTCAAACTCTTGAATCATCCTCTCTTCCTTTGTGTTTTCCCCCTTGTCCTAGTTGCAGTGGTGCTACTGCTGTTCACCTGTGCAGCGGCTGCTAGTCAAACTCTTGTGAACCATGCTGATGTTTATTCCTTCTTTTTCCCAATCTATTCCCCTTCCACAATTGCAGGGGTGCCACTGTAGTCGACTTCTCATGCAACGGTTGCAAGGGGGTCCTCCGGAGACGTTGCTGATGACTCACTAATGCGCGATTCTTTTGGAGCATAGAGACTAAAGCAGTCATCCACCATGTTAACATCTAGGGAATAAATCAATAGTATTGATTAGTTCTAGCTGGTGCCATTCTCTGGCCATTCACTAGCAGGCTAGTGCATGGTGTTTAGTCTAGGACTGCCTTTCTACAAAGGTAGTGAGCTATCTTCTTTCAATGCATTGGAGCTGTTGTAAACCACTAAGCATTATTGCTAAAAAATTGGAAATCAAAATATTTCAGAAGATCATTCAATCAATATACAGTCTCCTCCACTTGCTCAGGTCCCCACTGTCACTGCCCTCCCACACTGCTGCTCCTATACCCCTCACTCTTCCATATCCACTCACCTCCCCAACCCCAGTGTAGTACAGTAGGATCTTGCCACTCGCCATCTCTCCCTCACTCTCCCCCTCCCCTCCTCCCTCACTCTCCCCGTCCCCTCCTTCCTTACGCTTCCCCTCCCTCGCCTCCTCCCTATCTCCCTCTCCTCCCTCACCCATCACTACCACGTGTGGAGTTCCAACCAGCAGGTTGTCCCAAACCTCTTCTCCGAACCTTGGCTGCAGGATCGGCCCACCAGGTTCGGGCCCAACGTGTCGGGCCTTCTCCCATGTCTCCCCTCCATCCACAGAGTACGCTAGAATTGAGTACGTTCCATTATAGCGCGCCCCTTCATAAAACATAAGCAGCACTGGAGAGTTACTGCCTTCACCTGCAGCACAGTTACCCTCTTCCTGCCCCCCCTGCTGCTCTTCCTGCCCCCCCTGCTGCTCTTCCTGCCCCCCCTGCTGCTCTTCCTGCTCCTGCTGCTCCCTGTGCTCCTTCTGTCCCCACAGCTCCTCCTCCCATTTCTGAACGGCCTTTGGGCCAAAAGCAGCCAAGGGCACCACATGGCGTCGGTTGGCCCCTGCCTCGTCCCATGCTCCCAAGGGGCCTCTGCGGATGCAGGACCCCTTCTTTTTCCTGGCAGGTAGGACAAGAGGGGGGGAGAAAACAGAGAGTGCATGAGATGGCGACGGTTGGCCCCTGCTTTGTTCCATGCCTCCGAGAGCCTTCTGCGGATATAAGAGCCCTTCTTAGTCCTGGCAGGTAAGACGAGAGGGAGGGAGAAAACAGAGAGTGCATGAGATGGCGACGTTTGCCCCTTGCCTCGTCCCATGCTCCGAAGGGCTCTTTGCGGATACAGGAGCCCTTCTTAGTTTTGGCAGAATCACGGCATGGCATGGTCAGCGCATGGTCAGGGCATGGTTAGGACTTGGTGGGGCACGGCAGCGCATGGCCGATTATGCCGAGAAATGCTACCAATGGACCCCCGCTTCTGGAGCATCCATGGCAATGGGGCCAGAGGGCCTCAAAGGGTTTGCTGACCAAGCAAACTGAAGAAGACAATGAAGAAGACTGAAGTACCAACGGCTGCAGAGGTCACAGCACCAGCAGCGACAGCGTCACTAGCAGCGGCAGCAGCCTCAGATGCAGCACCTTCCCGTGCACGCTCCCAAGATAAAGAGTCATAGAAGTGTGCACAGGAAGCTGCTGCATCTGAGGGCGCTGGCGCTGATGGTGACGCTGTCGCTGCTAATTCTATGACCTCTGCAGCCGTTGACTTTTCAGTCTTCTTCATCGTCAGAATACTCAGCACGAAGAGCTGCTTCGACGGCAATAATGGTGTCAAACCTCTCTGCCAAACCTTTTGAGACCCTCCGAACCTGCTGCCATGGATGCTCCAGAAGCCGGGAGTCTATCAGTAGCATCTCTCAGATGCAGAAGCCCTTCTTAGTTTTGGCATAGTCACGGCATGGTATGGTCAGGGCATGGTCAGGGCTTGCCAGAGCATTGCAGGGGCATGGCTGGAAGCAAGTACCTCGGTGATTGAAGCATGGTAAGTACCCATCCTTACCAGTTCTTTGTGCTCGGATCAAAGGCAGCTGAGCCAATGGTGTAGAAGTACTGCGGGAGGGAGTCTGGTACTCAAACCATCCTGGTACATGGCCAGGGGAAAGTCCTCCCACGAATGAAAAGCATTTGAGGTGGAGCAGTATATCCCAACCCTTACAATGTCTTGGTGCGCGGGTCAAAGGTGGCTGAACCAATGGTGTAGCAGTAGTGAGGGAGCGACACCGGTACTCGGTCCACCTTCCCGTCCTCCCCCATGTGGGCATGGCCAGGGTAAAGTCCTCCCACGAATGAAAGGCATTCGAGGAGGAGCAGCATGTCCCAGCCCTTACCATGTCTTCATGCTTCGATCAAAGGCAGCTGAGCAGGAGCAGTACTGAGGGAGGGAGAGTTTGGTACTCGGTCCACTTCCACATCCTCCCCAAATAAACATGGCCAGGGGCAAGCCCCAAGCCAAGTTTACTGAAAGGAAGTTGTGAGACGCAGCTGTGGCATACCATTAGAACCGAAAACTTACCATGTCTTTGTCCTCGGATCGAAAGCAGCTGAGCTGATGGTGTAGCAGTACTGCGAAAAAGATTCTGGTACACGGTCTAATTTCCCATCCCTCTCCACATGGGGCCAGCCAGAGACAAGTCCCCCTCTTGTGAAACATTCAGTCTCTCACTTTCGCTTTTGTTCTTGGGTCAAAGGTGTAGCAGTACTGCGGAAGGGACTGTGGTACTCAAACCACTTTCCCATCCTCCCCCACATGGGCATGGCCAGGGGCAATTCCCAAGGTGACTGAAAGGCAGCCATGGTATAGCAATACATCTGAATCCTTACCATGCCTTTCTGTGTGGATCAAATGCAGCTGAGCCGATGGTGTAGCAGTACTGCGGGAGAGTGTCTGGTACTCGGTCAACCTCCCCATCCGCTCGCATGTAAGCATGGCCAGGGGCGTGTGGGTCGCCCACAGATTGGTAAGTCAGCAGCCAATCCGCATCCGCCATGTCAGCAAACGATGACAGAACAGCGTCTTTGGCCATCGCTTTTTTCAAATGCTCTCCTCCTCCCCCCTCTCCTCCATCTGCTCCCTCACTTGTCCTGCCTTTCCGGGTAGACCCATTACAAGGTAACCCAGCAAAAGCTCCTGAGTTGCTGTGCAGACGTGGCCAGGAAACTGCCAGCTCATCCCAGCTTCCCACGCCACCCACGTCCAGGAAAGGAGCCTTGGCTCGCTGCCACGTCACCCCGTCTGCTGACGTGGCGATGCCACATCGCATGCGCGCGCCCAATGCCGTCTTGCCAGCTGGCCAGGCGGGGAAACGACCCGGGTCCAAACCACCTGAAAGTAAACAAGAGGGAAGAGGAAAGGAGAGGGGACATGAAAATAAGTTGTCTCAGAGACTTCTCAAAACACCTTTATAATCAAACGCCCTGGGTCCAAACCACCTGAAGGCGATACAAGGGGAAAGAGAAAGGGGGAGAGGACAGAGAGGGGAGTGCGGGAGGGGAGGATGGGGTGAGTGAGTGAGTGGCAGGTATGGCATAATGGTAGAAATGTGTGATTGACAGGCTGTCGCGCCAGCTGGCCAGGCAGCGGAAGTGCCTCGGGTCCGAATCACTGGAGAAAACCCGAAGGGAAGCCGAGGGAGTAACTTCTAAGGATTTGCATTAAGGGACATGAAGGGGAAAAGGGTGTGTGATTGACAGGCTATCTTGCCAGCTGGCCAGGCAGCGGAAGTGCCTCGGGTCGAAATCACTGGTGGGAATACAAAGCGGAAGCTGAGGGAGTAACTCTGGAGGATTCCCATAAAGGGACATAAAGGGGAAAAGGGAGAGAGTGAGGGAGGAATGGGCCAGGGAGATGCGTAAGATTGGCAGGTGTGGTATAATGATAAGAGGAGAGTATCAAACAAGCCGTGTGTAATCACAATTGCGTAGTACAAGTGTGCTCCATACAATCACACGAATGCTCCATACAGTCACACCTGCATAGTAGAGCATGAGCCACGTGCCATCAGGTGAGAGCAGCACGTCGCTGCACCCCACATGCACACCACCACACTGTCGAAGGGCGAGTTGAAGGGTCGTCTGAGGAGAGTTTTAGGTTGATTCATTGTGAGCACGCACGCACACACACGCACCTGCATAGTAGAGCATGAGCCACGTGCCATCGGGCAGTAGCACTACGTCGCTGCACCCCACATGCACAAGAAAATTAAGTTGATTCACCACAAGTCACCTGCTTCGTTATAAGCATACAGAAACACATGCGCCCACCTGCATAGTAGAGCATGAGCCACGTGCCATCAGGTAAGAGCAGCACGTCGCTGCACCCCACATGCACACTGTCAAAAGCTGACGGGTCGTCCGAGGGGTCAAATACGGCACCACCAGGTAAAGGGCCAGGGTACCTGTAGTAGGGGGAGGTGGGGGTTGCATACCAGAGCCACATGCACACTGTCAAAAGCTGACGGGTCATCCGAGGGGTCAAATACGGCACCACCAGGTAACGGGCCGTGGTACCTGGAATGGAGAAAGAGAGAAACAAAGATGACAACAATGAGCCCACTATAAGGAGACATGCACACGCAGTAGCAGCACGTCGCTGCACTCCACATGCACACTGTCAGACGCTGATGGGTCTTCTGAGGGGTCGAATACGGTTCCACCAGGTAAAGGGCCAGGGTACCTGTGTAAGGTAGGGAGGGAGGGATGATGGGTTACACTCCAAAGCCACATGCACAATGTCGCACACTGACGTGGCGTTTGCGGGGCCAAAATTGGCTCCAATGGGTAAAGGGCCGGAAAACCTGTTGTAAGGCAGTGGGTTGCATATCAAGGCCACGCCACAAGCTGAAGGGTCACTTGAAGGGTTAAACACATCTCGACAAGGTTAAGGGCGACATAGTGATGGTGCATCCACCATGCCTTTTCCCCTCCCCTAATCACTCTCACCTCTCCCATGTGATCCCATCGCTGCTGATGGCCAAGCCCACTCGCCCAAACGAGTTGCCTGGCTGAACACACACCCTCATGCCCCACTCCTCTGTGTCTCCTCCCATGGTCACATGCATACATCCCTCTCATAGTCACATGCAT